GAGAAGTCTTCTTCATAATTATTACTTAATCGTCCCGTAAACAATTGTGTATGTGTAGCTACCTCATAGGTGAGATCCCTGAGGAGGGTGGTCGTAGCGCGATTTCTACTTCTTGATCGCGTAATCATCTCAACTTTCTTTCTTCTTTTTTTCGATACAGTCAAAGCATCATTTGTACATAACACCTTGTGAGTATTGCAGGAGACGAGGAGGGCAATACGAGTGGATCCTTCTTTTTCGAATATTGGCATTGCTACCCACGGCTTCTCATTTTCCCCCAGGCTAGTCACTGAGGTTATATACAGAAGCTTACCGCTTGTGTCTCAGCTTCGTTACCTATCAGTGCCGGCGGTGATGTTCGGCTAGGAGACTCTTCAGTGATGGGCTCATTCGTTGACAGATGACTGCCTAGCTTTGCTAGCTAAAGGGATCAAATTAAAAGATTCACCAAATGATAACTTTCTATCTCTACCTCAGCCACTTCATTCAGAATCTTCAACAAGATGCCCTCAACAGACATGGCGGACCGGGAAAATGCGCTCATAACTCTTGGAGTAGCGCAAGTCTCACAAATGTAGTCGTCTTCATTTGGGTAAGTCGTTTTGCTCGGCGTTGGTGCATCATTTGCTGGAAAAATTTTGCCAGTGGGAGAGAAAAGTTTATGATAACAATGGAACATTTACCTGTAATGGTGAACAAGTTTACTCGATTTCCGACGCGATCTCCCATCCCAACATAAATCAGTACACGTGCTGCATGATATTTTACAAATACACCGTATTTCGTGCTGTGGTTGGTGTAATACCTTAAGAGTAGATAACTGTTACTGAATGACATAATAGAGCAAACGCGCGCAGCTTTATCGCTTCGCGCGCGCCCGCGCCGCCGCAGGTCATGCATTCTCTGCGTTAGTGACTTAACAGCGTGCCTTATGATTGAGGGTCAATTTACAGCAAGTGAATGAGGCACAGCTGGTGTAAACTTTCTAATGGCGTTCAAAAATTTCTTACCAATCATCCGCTGGAAGAAGCATTTGAATGAGAACATCGTCTATTTGCATATCTACAAAGGTAGCATGTGT